TCATGTGAGCGTTATATAAAAGAATAAAAAAGGAATATTTAAGTTTTACGTTAGTTAAATTCGTCTGCAATTCGTTTTGTTATCTAAAAGTTTTCTTTTCTCTTAAGTATCTGCGGATATAAGCAATTGATTATACGCACATAGCGAGACTTGAAGAAGCTCCTGTTCTTACTAGTTTTCCGTATAAAGGCGTGTTTGCGATTACACGCATGTATTCCGATAGTCTTTAATGTTGATCGTTATTATCAATTACGTTTTTATTATCACATATAATAATGTAATTACCGTTATAGTTGTAACGAAATGCAGTTTATTTACAAAAAAGTTTTACTTTTACTCTTAAACAAATACAACAAAAATAATTTTGTAACGTTGTAACGAACAAAAATTTTTTTTCCGATTTGTTTTAGTTTTTTTGTGTTAGTTCCCACTTCAGTTACCACCTTCTCGAAGGGTTGCATGCATGATACTAAAAATGGCTGTGTAATATATTATAGTAATATAATTGACAGCATTCCATGTATCTATAAATTTTAGATACAGATGTGTGGCGTAGATACAATATGTGGCGATCGAACGAAAAACCAAGAATGTTTGGGTTTTGAACCCAGGTCTTCGGATTACCAGACCAGCGCACAATCCTCTGCGCCACTCGATCGCCACGCATAATAAAAATAAAAATATCTATATGTATAGTTTCTATATACATGTATATATACATATATATAGAAATATTGATATATATAATAGTATGTATATGTGTGTATACAAACACACATACATGTATTGAACATTGTACGATTAGCCGCTTCAAATACGTGATCTGACCTAGATTGGAATAATTTACTTCGCCATGTTGTAAGCGTATTGTTAAAAATTCTCACAAGGTTTCTTTGTAACAAATATTTTTATTTTTCTATTGATCTGCAACTGAAGTGACAGCGTATGAAATAAAGTCTATGTATAATAATTTTTTCTGCATGCATTTTTATTCTTTTGCAGTTACACATATGTATAATTCAAATAAGTATACAATTAATAGTATTATAAAGTTGTGTGATAAAGATGGAATATCGTCGTGTTAATGGGAGGTCACAAGTAAGAAAGGAACAAGAATAAAAACTTTTTGTCGCCAGTAAATAATTAACCAATGTAGGAAATTAATAATCGACATAACTAGCAAACTCAGATTCAGTGGTCGAATTGGTGAGACGCCTAGAGTGTAGGGAGGTCCAGGTTCAAATCTTGGCTGAGATTTTTCGCGATAAATTTCTTTAATTAGAATTTGCCAGTTCTGTCGATTATTAATTTCCTACATTAAAAAAGTAACATTGGATTTCGAAGGGCCATTGCAAGAAAAATAGAGGCATCACTTATGCTCGCTCATTCTCTATGAGGAATGTAACATTGCTGATCCGTGAGCTATCGCTTCCAACCACTTGAACGGAATCCAATCTCTTCGGCATCAACAGCAACCTCGACATTTTTATTGAAATTCGACGTTTCCACGACATACGTGCCGGTGCTATCTGGGGAGCTTATATGCGACGATTCGGATGTATACATTTTTTTTAATGGAACTGCCGAGTTGTGAAAATGGAACGAATAATCCGGACTCTTGGATGCGGTCGTGAAGCTACTAGACTGCATATTGTTACCATTTCGGAGGGAACCGTCGTGGGATCTCGTGGAGTGTGCGGCTCGGTCTTCGATAAGTATATCTCGTTGTAGAGTGACATTGTTGTTGGACGCGCTGGTCCAGGAACCGCCGCGCTCGTTCGCGCTGGAACTCGGTTTTGCTTCAGCGACGTCCTCGAGAAACATTGAATTACCGAACAATATCGAGTCGATCTTCTCAATGATGGTGTGTAGTCTATCCCAGCTCTTCTTTCTCCAGTTTCGCTCCATTTCTCTCGAGTGGTGCGACATTCTCCATTGTTCGTAATCGTTATTTTCGATTTGTACTATCGTGTGATTAGATGTGGGACGGCAAGATAGGGAACGGATTTCTTTCGTCACTGCTGTGCCGCCATTGGGTTTATTCGGTCGAGATGTAGGACAGCTCGAGGCATTTAGGATCACTTCGTTATCCCGAATTTGCGACATGTTATATGCTACTTGTACAAAATAAAGTATCTGTTCTGTGTTTTTATTTTATTTATTCAAATGATTCGAACGAGGATTCGAATGTGTTAGAGATAAAATCATACGTATAAAATTTTGTGAGTTTATATTTAAAAGGAACACTTTTTCAGTATTCTATAGAATTATTTTAATAAATACCTATTTTGAAAAATATTAAATATAAAGTACATTTAATACAATAATTTCGATTTTACATAATTAGTCTATAATAACATATGCATATTTGTATTTTTACAGTTTAACATATACATGCAGTTAGCGATGTACAACTCTGCCGTTGCGAATCGTATCAGTGAGTCACAAATTACTTTTTATTTTAAATTG